TGTCTTTACCGTTGTTTAAAACAAAACATTTACATCCAAAAGGATGAAAATAACTAATGTTAGGCTTTTTATTTTTGAAAAGTTCATATGGAGTTTTTTTAAATATGCCTAATCATTACTTGATTTATGACATAACAAACGCTATTTGTGGCTTCCGCCCAAAAATATTTTGGCAAATTATTTTCACAAAGCATGGTTCTAACCATTTATTCTAAAGTTCGATTTTTCCTCTCAACAACTCCATTTTGTTGAGGGGTTCTAGGTGCTGGAAAATTATGGCTAATGCCATTATAATTATTAAAATCAGTAAATCCAAGATTTTCAAATTCAAAACCATGATCACTCCTAACACTAGTTATTGAGTAACCTTTTTCGTTTTGGATTACTTTTTAAAACGTGATGAATTTTTCTAATGATTCATCTTTAGTACTTAAAAATAGAACCCAAGTATATCTAGAATAGTCATCTACCAATACAAAACAATAATATTTTCCACCCAAGCTAACAGTCCTAATTGGCCCAAAAAGACCTATATGGATCAATTTTAATACTCTACCAGTTGATACATCATTAATGGATTTAAAAGAAGCTCTTTTATGCTTTCCTTTAGCACATGCATCACAGATTTTATCATTATTAAATTTTAGCTTTGGCAATCCTCTTACTAAATCTCCTTGAATTAGTTTTTGTAAAACACTCATACTATTGTGTCCTAGTCTCCCATGCCATAACCAACTATCATGTTCATCCTTAGCAACTAGGCACATGTTAGTCATATTAATAGAATCTAAATGCACCATGTATATGTTTCCTATTCTATGACCAACAAGCATAATTCGATTAGATGCAATGTCAACAATTTTACAACCATTTGTTTCAAATAAGACATTGTATCCTTTATCGCATAATTGACTAATACTCAATAGATTATGCTTTAACCCATTCACATACAAAAATTTTATATTTGTATGGAAGAGGTATTACCTATAGTACATATACCTTCAATGTAACCTTTTAAGTTGTCACCAAAGATTACCACTCCTCCATTTTTTTCGTTAAGCTCTATAAACCGGCTCTTATCTCCAGTCATGTGTCTTGGGCATCTACTATCAAGGAACCATGAATTTGAACTTGTATTTTGCACCTTGAAGCAATGCTCCTTTTCCTACAAACATAGATTAATTTCTAATTTTGGTACCCAAGTTCTTTTGGGTCCATATTCATTAGTTTCTAAAATCCTGGTCTCTTGGGTGTCCATTTGTGTAGGATATCCTTATATTTAGTAGTAATGAGTTCTTTAGGAACCCATATACTTCTAATGATTTTCCATTAGAGGTTCTTTGGGGACCTCTATGATTGTAGTTTTTAATTTTTTTTAACAAAGTTGGATTTTGAACTTTCTCCATTTTCAAAACGTTTTGTTCCAACTTTATTAAAAGAAGCTTTAAGATCATCAATTTCTTTTTGATGATCTTCATGAACTCTTGAAAGTAAATTATGCAAATCAGAGGTTTTCTTTTCAAAATCTTCGATTTTGCTTTGCAATTCTTTAATTTTACTTTCAAGATCATTGTTGGTCTTGGATATGAGATTATTTTCGTTTTTCAATTTTGAAATATCTTTCTTGTATTTTGAAAATAGTTTCTCATAATCCGAAGCCAACCCAATATATTCTACTAACTCATCATAAGAATAATCTTCTAAATCAAATGAGTTAGAGGTTACTTGAGAGTCTTCCCCGGTGGCCATCAAGCACATGTTTACTACTTCTTGTTCCTTTTCATTTGATGATTTATCATCATCACTCCAAGTAGCCACGTGTGCCTTGTGCTTCTTCTTAGATTGACCATTTTTCTTTAATTACTGGCAATCATATTTGACATGCCGAGCTTTTTGCATTCGTAGCAAATGATCAAGTCTTTCTACTTTGGTTCATTTTTGAAGCCTTCATTTCTTTTGAGTTTTCTTCCTCTATTGGGCTTCATTAATTTTCTGAACCGTTTGGCAAATAATATCATTTTTTCATCATCATCGTCATCATCAGACTCACTCTCAACTTTGGTGGATTTAAGAGCAACTCCAATATTTTTCTTTTTCTCCGTCTCCTTCTTTATCTCGTCATTCTTCTCGAGGTCTACCTCATCTTGAATCATTATTTCTTGTGTGAAGAGAGAACCGATGAGTTCATCGAGAGTTAAAGACTTTAGGTTTTTAGCTTCGATGATCGTTGTCTTCTTTGATTGCCAAGCTTTAGGAAGAGAATATATTAACTTTCTCATAAGCTTCTCATTTGGAATGATCTCTCCATATGATTTGAGACCATTGACAATCACGGAAAATCTATCTATCATAGCTTTGATATCTTCATCCGATTTCATCTTGAAATTTTCATAGCTATGAGTTAGAAGACTAATTTTAGATTTTTTACCTCGTTTGTGCCTTCATGAGTGACTTGTAGTTTATCCCATATCTCATTGGCAGTTGTAAAAGATAAAACTCTCACGTATTCATCTGGCCCAAGAGCATAAAATATAATATGGATAGCCTTTGAGTTAAGTTGGAACATTCTTGTCTCTTCTTCACTCCACAATCTTAAATGAGTTGATGGTATGATGTATCCGTCTTCCACGATATTTCATGCTCCCATGTCACTTACTTGAATGAAGCATCTCATTTTATTCTTCCAATAAGCATAATTAGCTCCATTGAAGAAATGAGGCTTGTTGATAGGCTGAGAATCAAGAACGAAGTCGAAGTATGAAGTGAAGGCCATTGATGACTTGAATATCGATGTAACTCTTCCTGAATTGACTCAAAAGGTGGTTAAACCTTCAAATGAGTATAGCTCTGATATCAATTGTTGAGTTAATCGATCGACGAATTGGCCAAGGGGGTGAATTGACATAAAATTTTTTGGTAGAGCTTTTGCAGAAAATAGAAAATATTTGCACAACGATTTAGAGTGGTTCAACTTTCTTAACCAAAGTCCACGTCCACTACCTTAGCTATCCACAATAAGGATTTTCCACAAATTCACTAATTTGTCTTTCTTTTGAGGACAAAGAGTAACCTTACAACTCCTTCAAGAATTATACCTCAAATTCGTGAGAACAATCTCTCCCAAAGAGAAAATTACAAATTTGCAAACTTAACAGAAAGACCTCACAAGGCAAGATGTTTGCATAATTCTAGATCAAAGAAAGAACACTAAAGAATATACAATTGAGCACAAATAGTGTTCTTGAAAGCAGAATGAATATTGAATGGAAATAGGTTTGAAATGCTCAAACAATAAGGTTTGATGTTTTTCTTTTATTCTCTCTCAATTCTTTTTTTTTATCAATGGCTCCTGAGCTTGTTTAAATACACCTTGGATCACTTTTGAATGTTGGGATCATTGGTGAAGTCAATAAAACTGTTATGGTGTAATTATCATTTAAAAAATATGTTGAGCTTAGGTGTATCGGTACACTCGTAAGGTGTATCGATACACTTAGTGTAAAATTCAAATATTTCGACCGTTAGTTGACCTAGTGTATCGGTACATCCCAGGTGTATCGGTACACTAATTACATTCGATGTTCTTCTGAGCCAGGAGTGTATCGATGCATATGCTGTGTATCGATACACAAAATGATTTCGATGTTGGGTGTGTATCGATACATTCAAGAGTGTATCGATACATCCCTTTGTAAAAATTATTTTTGGCCCGATTATGGTTCGAAATACTTTGTGAAAATTGTTTCAAAAATATTTTAAAAAACACAATTTTACACTTAAGTAGGGTTTAAAATTGACATTTGAAAACTTGGAGTAATATTTTGATATTCGAATAATTTACTCGAATATTAATTATTGAAATCGAATATAAATCTTAAATTCCATGGGACTTTATTTGTTATATTGAAACATCAAAATGTTTTCAACATAATGTGTATCTTGATTACAATGCAAGGATTGTTTTTATATACAACACAAGTAGCTCATAACCATTCTAACATAATAACCAACCCTAACAGCTCAACAACTTCCTAACTTCCTCTTAACAGCTATTGCCAACGTGGCATGTTCAACGTGTCATAGCAAGCATGACTTGCTTTCCCCATTCTGCTAATAATAGGGAACATCAATATATTAAGTGTAAATTCATTAAGTGATCTTAATGATTAAGATGAATCTTTTCTTTTGAGATTATAAATGCTAAGTTTGTAGGATGTTTACGTTGTTAATGGTTAAAACAAATTATAAATAAATATTATTTTTATAATCAATACTCAAATTAATTGATTTTATATATTTTATAAATTTGTGTATGATTTATATTACCAAATTATTATTGAATTCCATTTTCATTATGGCTGAAAAAATTCGAAATGGTTCAATTTTATATCATTGCTACTGTACTAAACGGGAGGAAACATTTTTATATTAAAAATTATTAAACATTTCTACCTCACTACAAATTTAATTTAAATAGAGCATATGAAATACAAATAATCAAACTAGGTGGTTAATATAAATCATATAAAAATCATAAAAATGTTTTCATAGAAAAAATTAAATATAAATTAACTATTGTGTTTTAACTTTTTTATTAGTTTGAGATAAATATAAGATAATATTTATTTGAAAGACTTTTATACACTTAAAAGTTGAACGTTTATATACATCTGTAAGTGTCGTGTTTGAACCCAATACTTCTAAAAATAACAAAAATATCTTAACTACCGATATTGCTTGGTCCATGTTTTTTTTATTTTACTTATATATATATAAATAATCAATGTTGAAAAGAAACAACAAAAATAAAGGGTGAGAATCCTAAAAGAAAGAAAGAAAGCAAGCAAATGCTTGAGTGAGAAGCTCCCAAGTTGATGGAAAAAGACAGGTCTGATAATGTGTCCAACATGTATGTATGTCATCCTGATCATTCATGCCATGCCATGCCGTTCTACCCATTGTCCCCTTCATCTTCCCCAGGCAAATATAAAAAGCTTGCAATTATAACCTTTAAAAGCCCCCCGCCCCACTCCATTTAATCTTCTCCTACTTTCAAACCCTAAATCAAATCCAAGAAGGCAAAAGAAATCTTAACTCTGTTTTTTGCCCCCAAAGCGATGAGAGTCCCGGTTTCTTCTCCACAAAGCAACCATTGTCAAAGCCCGAAACCTAACAACAATAACACTACTACTACTACTACTAATACAATTCGGAACTTAAGTTTCCATGGGGTGAACAGTGTTCCAACCTCATGCTATGAGCCAACTTCGGTTCTCGATCTTCGTCGAAGCCCGAGTCCGGCGCCCGAGAAGCCTGTATCGAATCTGGCCGATGTTTCGAATTTTATCGCGGGATCCGATTCGCCACCTCATCACCATCAGGCGCCTCTTGAGTGGGACGAGCATGTGCTACGAAACATGGATTGGGATTCCATCATGAAAGACTTGGGATTAGATGACGAATCAGTACCGTCTATCAAAACTATTCCTCCTCGAGCTATTAGTCCTTCCTGCGAGAACCGTATCCAGAACCTAACTGAGTTTGCTTCCAGCGAGATGACTCACCACTCTGAGTTTAACAATCTTTACGAGTTTTATTCTGGTTTAAATGAAAACCCATCTCATCAAAGTGATTTTAACGCTGGTACCATCACTAATAACTACCTTGATATATCTAACAGTTGTGGTTTTCATAATATTGGCAACTTCAACTTAGGATTTGATTTTATAGAAGAGCTGGTAAGAGCCGCGGATTGTTTCGACACCCATGAATTGCAACTCGCGCAGGTGATATTGGCACGGCTCAGTCAGCGGCTGAGATCTCCGTCAGGGAAGCCGTTGCAGAGAGCCGCTTTTTACTTCAAAGAAGCCCTTCAATCTCTGCTCAACGGGTCAACTCGGTCGGCTCTTTTGTCTTCGTTGAATGAAATCGTTCAAACCGTCAAAGCGTACAAGGCCTTCTCTGGGATCAACCCTTTACCTATGTTCAGCCAGCTCAGCACCAACCAAGCGCTCCTTGAAGCACTGGATGGATCAGCCCCGTTGATTCACATAATTGATTTTGATATCGGACTGGGTGGCCAATACGCTTCTTTGATGAGAGAAATGGCTGAGAGAAACGATCATTCTGGCAAGTTCATTCGCATAACTGCGGTGGTTCCCGAGGAATATGCGATTGAGACAAGGCTTATTAAAGAAAGCCTTGTTCAGTTCGCTCAAGACCTTAAGTTAAGGTTCCAAATTGAGTTTGTTCTCCTTCGGACCTTCGGAATGTTGTCGTTTAAAGCTTTTAAGTTCATTGACGGAGAGAAAACGGCAATCCTTTTGTCCCCGTCTATATTCCGATGTCTCAGCTTAAACGTGACGGCGTTCTTGAGTGATCTTCGAAGGGTTAACCCGAGCATCGTCGTTTTTGTAGATAGTGAGGTGTGGATGGAGTCTGGGACGACGTCGTTCAGAAAGAATTTCGTCAACGGTTTGGAGTTCTACGCCATGATGTTCGAGTCATTGGACGTGGCCATGGGGACCGGGGAATGGGTGAGGAAGATAGAAACGTTGTTATTGCGACCGAGGATACTAGCGGCGGTAGAGACAGCGGCGAAGAGTACGGCGCCCCCGTGGAGGGAGAGGTTTCGAGGGGCGGGGATGAGGGCGGTGCACTTGAGTCACTTGGCGGAATTTCAAGCAGAGTGTCTGTTAGGGAAGGTGCAGGTCCGGGGATTCCACGTGGCGAAAAGGCAGGCGGAGTTGGTGCTTTGCTGGTACGAGAGTGCCTTGGTTGCCATGTCGGCGTGGAGGTGCTAAGTAAATAAATTAGTCCAGCTGGATTTAGAATTTTAGTATTTTGCATGGCCTTTTTTTTCTTTCTTATTTCGGTAATTAAAATTTGGTGGTAATAAATTAATTGTGGCAAGTAAAAGAGCTGGGAGAATTAGGTTGCCTGCCTAGTTTCTTCTTATGCAGTTATATATAGTAATATTTATAAGCTGATGTATCCAAACCCATGGGGTAACACATTGGAATTTGGACATGCAATGCAATGATTGTCATATAATAAGGTTAAAAATATGAATGAAAGTTACATAATTATTTAACATTTTTAAATTTAATGAGGCATAGAAATCCTCATCCAACATATTTATCCAAATCTTTAAAATTCAGATATGATTTGGTTCTTTAAAGAAACCAATAGCATCAAACCGTGTAATTCTAAATAAAAGTGGAGAGAAAATTCTGAGTGTGTGTGAATTAATCCCTAATTATTCTTTTGCTCCCAGTAATCTACACACAATACAACTATTTGAAATCTGGTTAAAACTGTTTTCTGTTTGTAAAATATAAATTACAGTTGTAAAAGGGTTAAGGGTACAGATCAGTAACTAAGCGAATCCATGGTGAAAAGAATGTTCCGGATACCCACAAACTACTGCATTGGCTGCTTGTAGATTTCCTATTATATTAACTCTTCCCTTCATCGCCTTGCTCCAGATTAGTTACCGTATCAGGTCCACATATCCGTGTCAGCTCATCCTGTTATACAGCCACCAAAAACATATTTATCGATAACACACTCGACCACTTGCAACAACGAAGAAGTGAACAAGGGCAAAGCTGTTGTATACCTTAATAGAACTGTTTTCTGATGTAAGCTTCTCACATTCATCGGATAGCTTCTTTAGTTCCTCTCTCAGATTATGGTTTTCGTTCGCCAAGCTCTCCACTCTCGCCTGTAGCTCTTCGCACTCTGCCTACGGAAATATACAGGCTATAGATGTTAGACTTAAACTACCATTGGTTGACAAAAGATATAACCAGCGTACCTGCTTGCGTAATCTTGATCTTCTAGCAGACTCGCGATTAGATTGCTTCCTCTTCTGTCTTTTTAACTCACGTTCATCCTGGAAGAACCCACTGTGCCGATTTAGCTAATTAAAAGAATGCAAAAGGGGGCAAAGAAAGTTGGAGACCTTAAAGGACTAAAGCGAATTTTAACAACTTTAACAAAATATTGGATCGTAAACGGTGCAAATGGTAATGAACATGTAAAATAAGAAAAGAAAAACAGCTGCGTGAAGCTCGTACTTGAATCCATTGCTCGGGCATCACAACTCCAGTAGGAACTGTGGCTACAGCACCAGAAGAGTTGGATCTCATTTTCGCAGTTCCAGTGGATCCACTCCATAGGTCCATCCCGATATTCAGGTTGGTTGCAGGCATTGCCACTATGGGTTTCCCGGAAACTAAAGCCCCAGCATTGTTACTCTGTGCGTTGGCTGTAACAAGAGTGATTTGTAAGTAGAAAACTATTACGGTATATAAAATCAACCCTAAGTTTATTTACCAGAAAATACACTAAGCAACTTTTATTTTCTTTTTGGCTTTCAGTTTTCATGCACTTAGTCCCCGACTTCCTTCACTCCTATTCACCGGGAAGTAAGTTTGTGTCAAAAACCACAAAGAGAAATAATTTTTCAAAGTCATCTGACACTCGTTGTTGAGATTTTTCCTACAAATAAAAGCAGAAGCTTGATAAGGAAGTATAAAATACCATCTGCAAGCATCTGGTTAAAGCTTCCCTTTTTACCGGTAGAAGGTTCCTAAAGGGAAAAAGAGGCACATATTCATTAGAAAGGACAATTCATCGCATAAACATGCTAGCCACTAGCCAGTAAACAATGTTGAGCAGGGAAACTGAATTTCAAAAGTATTCAGTATCCTTGACGACAATCAATAGTGATAACTACGCACGTACTTGTTGGTCATTCTCATCACTTCCATCTGAAGAGCCCTCAGTGCCACTTTCAGCGCTGTTAAGAAAACGGTTAGAATTAGAAAAGGCAGGGCAGAAAAATTGGAGAAACTTCTTAACCAAAACCCAATGCTGAGAATTAAAGTGAAAATCAAAAGCCTAGTGCACCTTTCAGAGCCACCGTCATTTCCAGAGCCAGAAGCCGCCTTTACACTTTCTCCAGCTTTGCTTCCTGAAGCTCCCTTCGACTTTTTGGTGGCACTTCGATCCTTCCCATTGGCACTCTTCCCTTCATGGTCAGTATTATTCCGTGCAATGCTTGGAGCCTACAGAAAAAATTGCCAAGAGGAAGGGCATTTAATTTATAACTGTGAATCAAAAGGAATACAAACAGCAAACAAAACACAAAGAAAGAAAGAAAGAAAGAAAGAAAGAAGAAAATATTACCAGGGCCATAGTAGGATGTGCATACACTCCCCCAGGAGGATACATTGCTGGGAATGGAACAGGAGTTCCATATGGAGTCATTAAAGGATGCTGAAAGATCATCAAAAGCAAAGGAAAGTAAGAATATTGATCAAAAATTGAGAGAGAGAGAAAAAAACACATTATTGAAAATGGAGATTTCAAAAGCGGTATCACCTGGCTTCCCCACATATATGGATGTGGAGTTGGCGAAGCAACAGTTGAGGCAAAGAAGGGAGGCAGAGCCGCTCCAGCACCATAATAAGCCTGAACAAGAAGTTGAGTTGCAAGATCGAATAATCACTAAACAATTTTTTAGGATTTCATAAACAAGATCAAGTGTTAAAAAAAACTAAATAAAACCACATGATTCATGTTCTAAAGTATAAAACCTGCACCGGGCATGACCAATCAGGATATGAAGGAGTTGTGGGCATTTCCTATAAGTCCAAACGCAGAAATGTCAGCAAAACTCATCCATGTGTGTTAGTTATGAGAAGGCAAAAATGAAATGGGCAAGTTTTTTGTCCTTTCCAGTTGGTGGAATGGAGGCAATCAATGACAGACCTGTGTTGAGGCAGTTGGTTTGGAAGAAGGCTTGGAAGCGCTCTCCTCTTCCGTTCCCATAATTACTTTTGTAAGCCTCTTAGTTTCAGCAAAATTATAATGAAATTCGTAAATCCACAAAGAACTTTAAGAAGCACCCTAGAAGCCGATAACAAGTAACCCTGCATGTCAGAAATAAGAGATAACAAGAAAATGATTAACCAATGCAGCTAACAAGGGTTAAAAAGCAACTACAGCTCACAATTCGTGATATGCAGAAACAGATAAAATGTGACCACTTGAGAGTATTCACGAGGATTTTATGTTTTATGAGCCAAAACATGATTCATAAAAGAAAAATCAATGCAATTTCAGTATGGGAAAATTATCATGAAACGTCTTCCAAATAGAAAGATAATAGAGAAACAAAGTCATCCCAAGAATATTGTATACACTAAACATCCAGTACCAGCTTCAGAATACCTTAATAACCACCAAAAGAGCTAAATTTAGAAATAAACTCCTTCCATTTCAAGTTCTTCACTTGTTGTTCTGGCCACACTCCCGTTCAATTAAAGATTCGAAACTATGACCAGCTGAGTTATTTTGATCTTCCCATAAAACCAACTTCAAATACAAAACACCCATCCTTGTTCAAACAATTGAAGGCATCAATATGGTAATTGATTTAGTAATATGGAAACAAAAGCAGAGCTAGAACATCTGACAACAATCCATATGTAAACCAACAACCTTAAAATAGTAAGTAATTCTTCAATTCGGATAATTACCTTCCAAAAAAAAAACACAATCTTTCCTCTAAATTTTTTGCCGTAAAACATTCAACTTACCAAATAATAGAAGGGGAAACCCCCACAAGAAAAATTGACAGTGTCCGACTTAAATAGCCCAAAGCTAACTAAGGTTGACCGTCAATAGACATCTTACAGCTGGAATCTATGAATCTCCTCTCCGACATGTTCGAGAAAAAGGCTATATATTAAAAATTATCCATAAATTGCTATATAACAACTTTTTAGCAAAGACCAAGAGCTAATCTAAATCTGCAAGCCTAAACCCACAAAGATGCTCAATATCCATAACACAAGCAAAGCTCAAATAAGTAACTGTTTTTTTTTTTTAAAGTAAAAGATTATCTCTCGATGATTTTAAATTTAAAATAATATATAAAAAGAGTAAAATTGTAAAAGTAAAAATAAGAAGGAAAAAAGGAAGACCTGTGTTCCTGAGGTTGAAGAAGGAAGTGAGGTGGAAGTCTAACTGGAACACTTACAAACAAACGATTAAGAGAGATAAATATGCGGTTTTTTTGCTTTCTTCTTCTAAGTCCACTTCCACTTCCCTTATCCGACGGCTGAAAATTAAGGATGAAACAAAGAACAGCTGTACGGGAATTTGAAGTACGACGAGATCGTCGTTATTGTTGACTTAAAAAGAGAGAAGGGGTACAATAATCCGGTGTGGTCGGGTACGTAGTTGGAGCGGAAATAGTGAATTCAGGGAAGGAAAGGGACGAGAGATATTAGGGTTTCGCAGGTAATACGTGCAAAGGAAAGGGAGGACAGCTGGGATGTGTTGGAGTGGATTAGGTTTATGACACTGCATCCAACTCGATAATTGATTCATCATTCACAACAAATATCTTGTTTCATACGACACCGTTTCCGCCTGTCTTTTTTTTTTTTTTGGTTAAAAGATATTTTGTCTTGGGGTGGAGGGATGAGGGGCGATTTGACCTAAATATCACCCTAAATCTAATATACCTTAAATAACTTTCTTTTACTAATATTTTTTTAATTAATACTCTTTCGTTTGAGGTGGCATTAAGACGTGCTCTCAGTAATATGTTTTAATGGGATTTTAGCTGATTGGGTTAACATGCGACTAAGGCGTATTTTAGAAAACGCGTCTTACATGATTTTCTGCTGATTGGGATGCCACGTGGGTAAGGTGTGTTTCAGGGGACGCTTTCACGGGGTTCGATGACATGTGAAAAGGAGCGTTTCAGAAAAAGCGCCTTCTATTAAAATACATTTAATTCCCACCCATTTTCTCAACCTAACACCCTCTTCTTCTTATATAAACCCTTTCAACCCCCCTCATTCTACACACCAAAACAATTCTCTCTATAATATAACTCAAATTCTTCCTTTATTTGAGTTTAAAATTTCTTATTAGTGGTAAGATATTTATTTTTAAATTAGCATATTTTTTAAATAGTTGTTATATTTTTTATAAATATTTTTAAAAAAATATTATTATATTTTTATTAATATATATATAATTATTTTTATTTAAATTAATTAATTATTATTTATGCTAATTAAATTTGTTTGTCTACAGTTATAATGGAAAGCGAAATGCTGCTGCGATTAGATACAAATCATATCTCAAGACATTTTAGTGATATGGTAATATTTTTTAAAATTTATGTTAATATTTATTATTATTTTTAATCTAAATTTATCATAAATTTATATTAATTTTAAATTTTTGGAATACTTATTAATTAGGAAAATGATCGTATTTTGGAGATATTTATTAAAAACATGAAGATACCGACACCAATACGTATTTTGTCGTATTTGTCTTCCGCTGGGTTCGGGTATATTGCGAAAGTTATTGGTGGTTGTAAACTCGAACCCATCTGAATTTCCATATTAGTTGAGAGGCGGAGACCGGAGACACACACATTTCATCTTTCATGTGGAGAGTGTACAATTATATTGGAGGATGTCTCAATGCATTTGGGGCTTCCCGTTGACGGAAATATTATGTGCGGTGTGGCCGATGGTGATTGACATTCAATATGCATGGAGTATCTTGGAGCTGCTCTGCCATATTTCAATGGAGGTAGAATATCTTTATCATGGCTAAAAGCCAATTTTGAAGTTCTGAATGAAAATGCTTCTGAGGATGAAGCAAAGGCAAGTGTTCGGGCTTATATACTACGAATCATTGAAGGAATACTGATACCTGATAAATCTCGTAACCAAGTGCATTATATGTGGTTGCGTCATCTTATTGATTTTGATAAAGCATGAAGATACAGTTGGGGCGCTGAAGTTTTGGCATTTCTCTTTAGAGAAATGTGACGTGCAACGAATTATAATAAAACTGCTATCGGTGGATGTCTCATGCTTCTCCAATAATGGGCGTGATTCCGCATGCCTTTCTTATGCCCAATCGTTAATGAGCCATATGTATTCCCCTTATTATTGAGGTAATTTCACAACTAAATTTTGATTTAAATATTTTTAATTAAATAGGGTGATATTTAGTTTATATTATATTTCATAGGTGATCGATGAAAAGAAAGAATCATAGAGATATCCCTAGTGAACTAGAGGAAATCTGTTTAATTATTGATCAAAAAGTTGGGTCTGAGGTACGTCTTTAAATATGGCTAATTTAATTTAAAATGCTTGATATAATTAGAATATTATATTTATTATAATTTATATTTATGTTTCAGTTTCAGTGGGTACCTTATGTGAGCGATGAAGTAAAGACTTGCATACCACTCCATCTGAGTGGGTCATTAGATGTTTTGATGTACCTCTTATATGTTATGCTTTTGTTGAGTGGCATCCGGTTGATCGTGTGCTCCGTTAGTTTTTGTTGTACGCAATATATTCCTGGAGTACCTATGAATTTAGACAACATGCATAACATAGACATACGAGGAAAGAAATAAGTCAACTGGGTGGTGAAACACAGAGATTGGATTGCGATTTGGGAGAACCGGTATGAACGCTTGTCCCCTCGACAGTTTTACTCTGAACTGGTCATATGATTACGGATAACTATCTGGAGTGGTTTAATAAAAACAGAAAGCTAATTCTACTTTCGGCGAAAGCACGAGGGATGAGCATTCATAGGCGCCGAGATAGACGTCCACCGTCACAATATCATCGTCCCTCGACTAGTAAACGGGAGAAGCCGCTACCGGTTCGGCATCAGTCGCACCACCATAACCATCACAACATCCATTATATCCATCGATGATGATGCCACAAGGGTACACGCCCAGCCCACCAGTTCATATGCCATCTCCGCAAGGATATATATAAAGCCTACTAGTTCATATGTCATCTCCGCAGGGTTACATTCCCAGCCCGCAAGGTTACATACCCATCCCGCAAGGTTATATGCCCAGCCCGCAGGGTTTGATGACACCCCATGGAGGTGCATATACGGGTATGCTTAATGATTCAACATATGGTTCATATGCATCTTATTTGGCTGGTGATGCTTCTCCACAAACACCCCCAACTCCATCTGGATCACAGACATCGATGCCAATATTTTCACAATTTTCTCAATTCTCTATGATTAGTGGGATTGTTAGTAACACTCCTCCAGGGTCGTTATTTTATACAGGACCTTCATCATCATCCATGCCAAATGAACAAAATGTCGATGATGATAGTGAAGATGAGGAGAATTAAGAGCAAGTTATACGAAGAAATCCTCAGTAAAATAGACAACCACCACCATGTGGAACTCATTCGAGAAGACGACGTCGTTGATCCAGATGTATTTAAATGTTATTTAAATAGTTATATTTTAAAATTTTATATAATTTTGCAATGTTATTTAAATGTTTAATGGTCGTTACAACAATATTTTTAAAATTTAAATTCAAATTCAACATTAAATGTTTTTTAAATGTTTTTAAAATGCAAATCAAAATTCACTTAATATTCCAATTAAAATTTAAAATTGTATTCGAAATTCGAAGTCAACTTCATATTCCGATTATAGTTTACCAAGAAAGTGACATTACAATTGAAACTTAAATTACATTGCCTTGTAAAAATTATTTCAAAAATATTTCCACAATATTTAATGAACATCATTATAAAACATATACATTTCAAACCACGTGTTATAATCCCATTAATATAGGCCCACAATGGAAAATAATTCCTAAAAACATTTCGATGCTCATTCGATACAATTTTCATGTCACAACATAAATGTTGACTTTATCTGTAACATCCTCAATACCGGGTTAGTGACCAAATTGTAAAGTTTCAGAAATTGGTGATTAAAGTAGGATAATTAAATAGTTTAATGATTTATTGGAAATATGATGAAGGTTATTTAGTAATTATTGAATGAATTAAAGGGTAAAAATTAATTGACAAGTAAGATTTTTATATTCCTTTTATAAGATAAGGAACCACGTAAGAAATGAGAGATTATCCAGAGTTTTCTTTCTTCTTCTTCCTCCTCCTGTATCTACAAGCTCAAAGGTGAGTTTCTTTGTTTATGAATTAATTGTTGATTTTAAGGTTGAGTTTTAATTATTAGATGATAACTAAGCTTAAGGAAAGCTTAAGTTATCTTAAAATCAAAGTATGATGGAGTTGGGAGGGATTAAAGATTTGAGGTTCTTGGGTGAAATCTTGAAATAGAATTCATAACTAGAGTTGGAAGTTAAATTTGACTTGTCAAGTGTCTAATTAAGAAGTTAGAAGCCATAGAATTGGAATTAAAACATATTGTAAAGTTGATTTAATTCTTGAGTTACATATGAGGAATAGAATTTTGAAGTTAAAGATGGTTTATATGGATATAAATTTGTTTAAAACGTTATATGAGTTGAGAACATGAAAGGGGATGAAAATGAAGCATTTGAGTTTATTTGAGTGGATTTTCGGGCTTAAAAATGAATTTTGGGCTATGTTCATCGCTGCACATTCAATGTGCACCGATGCATCAAGGGTAAATTTCCAGAAATTGTTCAGTGTGTATCGATGCATAGGAAGTGCATCGATGCACCCCTTAAAAATGGAAACATCGAATGCAATTAATGCATCGATGTATAAGGAGTGCATCAATGAACATGTTAAGGGATGCATCGATACACTGTAGAATGCATCTATGCACTTCAAGGGGAAATTGAAATAGACATTTCTTTTGGTATAAGAAATGATAGATTAGAGTATATCAATTAAATACTGATATGTATCAATATATGATTATGTAGATATCGAACATGAACAAGTTCCAGAATGATTAACAAGTTAAGATTCGATCGAAATTGAGGAAATCATAAAAAGCGGATTGGAACTTAGTAAGGCCAAGGTGAGTGCATATTATTATATTGTGCATATTATTATATGGAAATTAGACTTGTGATAAGTTTGTTTCCAATATTTTATGATTGCATGAATAGAAGCATGATTAAGTTTGTATTATGTGTATATGCTTTGTTCATATTATATGTTATGAGATGTGAATTTATATGATATGGGTTATATGGGAACAAAATATGTAACTATATGTGAACCTTATGAGATGTATGAATATGTGAAATAAGTTATAAGGGCACGAATCATGTATAATAGTAAATGTTGTATGTGATAACCATAGAAAGAAAATAAGTTAAGTGATCATGAACATGTAAATATATGTTTAGATGAAGATATAATAGCAAAACATAAATTACATGAGTCAAGTTTATGGAAACTATTATAATTTACTTATAGTATTAAATGAAAAGTGAGATAAACTAACTAGCATTGATTTATAGGACAATATGAAAATAGAATATCAATTAGGAGATTTGTACATAAATAATGAT